GAAGTCATGTCTGACCCATCACGACCCTATGGACAATGTTCCTCCAGGCCTTCCTGTCCTCTACTATCCTCTGGAGTCCATCCAAGCTCACTCCTACTGCTTCAGTGACTCCATCCAGCCACCTCATTCTCTGTTGTCCCCTTCTTCTTCTGCCCTCAATCTTTCCCAGCATTAGGCTCTTCTCCAGTGAGTCAAGAGCATCAAAGGACAAAAAGGGAAGATGTAGTCTACTACAAAATCATAAAGAAATCTATCTACATGCTTGCTTAGAACTGTTACCAACTTGATGGCACATAATATATTTAAAAGCAGATGAAAATCAAGGATTTAAAAGAAAACGATTTAAAAGAAAAGACTCTATGGTTTCTTCTCCAAGCCCCCATAACTTCAACCTTGGACTATCTACTGTCGACCTCACCCCATTCCTAAGAGGTCTGTAAGGGGCATGCATAAGCGCACCAATGTGCCTACCAGCCCTCTCCTAATGTTTCTTTTTATTCGTATCCGTTTCATGTGTCCAAAATCATGTTTATACATATATATGTTGTCTAATACATGCTTGATGAAATTTAAAAAAAAAAACCATTGATTTTCAACATAAGGATAAAGTCTTTCATTTTTAAGGGATAAAATTATTATTATTACTATAATTAATAATATTTATAGTAATACCATAAAACTTGAATGAAGGTAGACTAATCTTGTGGGGTTAACCATGAACAAAAGGGCTAAAATGGGTATCGGAAAATATGAATTGGTTTCATTGAGATTGTTATGAGACCATATGAAAATAGAGGCTACTAGTTTGGTTCCAGAATATTTATTTATTTTTAAATTTTGACTTATGGTTGTCACAACTGAGGAAACCTTAAGTGATTTACAGTGTGTCTACAAACAATACAATAAAATGCCCACATTATAATAAACAAAATAATGACAATATAAGAAAATCAGCAAAACATCCATACACAAAATAAAATGAAGCAGTCAGCAACTAACATATGAACAAATTTAGAACCCATAAAATCAATGGTGAGATTGCATATCTGAAATGCTCTCTGGAAAGATAATCAGCCGCCAGGTGGGTCAGCAGTCAGGTGGATGATTCATTGGCTGATTTGATGAAGGATTGAAAGAATGGATATGTGGTTCATGAGAAGTTCTCAATGTGGGAACAAACTGCATTATTCGGTGAGAAATAGACATGGGGTGAGGTGGGAGGTAAGTAGGCAAAGAAGAAAAAAGGAAGAAGTGAAAGGAACTAGAATGAATATTTCAGGAAGAGAAAGTACAAGCCCTGTATGAAAAGCTGTTAGAAAATAATCTCCCAATAAAGTAAATAAATGGAAAGTGGATGCCAGGAAAGAGGAAATTGAAGTAGTGTGGAACAGTGCCATGTATTTTCTTACAGTGTCACAGAACCTAAGAGTATTATGAAATATGAAAAGTTTGATACATATGAAATGAAAAAGACTGTGGATTGTGGAATGAGGGGAAAAAAATGTCTGCCAGTCAATGACTGAAGCAAAAAATAAATAAATAGATGAAAATATGCTGTAGATCTGGATAGCACTTTGGATTTGAAAGTAAAAGCTGTATTGGAGAGCTTTGGAATGTCCATATAGGATCCATTTATAGCAGGGGTGAAATCAACTTACCTTTGCTATCACTTTGCAAATGTGAGTACACATACAATTTGCTTGTTTAATTGGAAGCAAATCTCACTGTATGTTGGGGTGAGTTTCAAAGGACCACTTGTCTTAAATGAAGCATCAAGCAAAGCACCCCCACTCCATCTCACTGGGCTAAAAAAATGAAGAAGCTGAACAGAAGGTTTGGGGTGGTTTTTTTCATACAAAGTGGCTTTTGTGCATGATTACCCAACATCTTGATTTTGAAATCTTCCTCTGTGTGCCCCGCTGCCTCCCCCAAGTGTCTTGAACTTGCATCTGGTGCTACCTGTGGCGGGTGCATCCCCTTTAAAGATTCCCCTGCTCTCAAAGGATTTGCATAATGACATCATCTTATTCTGCATTCCTCCCAGGTGAAGGAATCCATTCTTGGAAAAGTCACATTGTAATCTCCCTCTTTTTTTCTCATTGTTGGAGAAAAGATAAAGGTGCATCTCTTTCGTTAGCTGCTAATTGTTGGCTTTTGGGAGACATTTCTTTTATGCTAATTTTAATCAGCATTTTGAACTTTTTAATACTGTTTGTGTTTAAAATTTTTGTTAGCCACTTTGAATGTTCACCAAAGCAGAAAGGCCGATATTACTGAAATACTGTAAATGCACAGCAGCTGTTTCTTTGAGGCAAAGCTGCTGCTTTGTCCAGAAAAGCACTGAGCACAGTCTGCTTGTCTGCATGCCATGTGGCTCCTTCCCAGATCACTGAACACAGCAGTATTTACTTTTGAATAAACACGGAGAAGTTTGCACTGTAAAAAAAAAAATCTGCCTAGGAAACTAATTTCAGTTTTTTTTTTTCTTGGCACCTTGGTTAGCTCCCTGCAGAAATCAGACTCAGGCATTTTTAGATTTTTTCAAAAAAATACACTGATTAAGAGAGAGTTGGCCAGCATCTCTGTTGTTCACATGGTTTCCCAGATCAAATGTGGAAGAGCATCTAGAGATCCTACATTAATTTCACTGCTATTCAGTAGCAAAATGGTCAGTTTTGAGGCACATCCTTTTCTATTTTAATTAAGAACTAAAAGTAGAGCTAGCTGCTTAAGTAGCTACAGTATAGAATTAG